AGCCCAGGCTGGCCTCGAACTCACAGAGATCCGCCTGGCTCTGCCTCCCGAGTGCTGGGATTAAAGGCGTGCGCCACCACCGCCCGGCTTTCTTTCTTTTTTTTCAGTGCATCTACTAGCCCACTGGGCTGCGTTCTCAGCTCTCTAGATATCATTTTTTTTGGGGGGGGTCTTTTTAAATTGAAGTTGCTTGAGCCCAAAAGTACACAACTCCACAGAAAGGTGGGGATGACCTCACGCCTAAAATGCCCAAACAAACCTTCCTACAGAGAACATGTAGGTATACATGCAAACCCTATCTCACAGACACTGGGGGGGGACGGGACTCTACAGGTGTGTTTGCCCTGACATACCAGGCACACTTAAGACCCCCTCACCACACCCATTACACACTCACAGCCCACGCCACTCTGCCCAAAGAAGCTAAAAGCCCTGAAGCCACTGGAGAAACAGCCCCTGCCCCCTCCCTCAGGGAGTCCCCCAAGGGCTGGGCTGGGATTTCTCAGAAGGCAAAACCCTTGGGAGAAAATCACCAGGCAGGACACAGCAGCGAGGCCCAGATGTGACCAGGTTCTGGGCCAGGAGGACTGGGGGGGGGAGGACCTGGGTTTAGCTTGGGGGGGGCAGACTCCCTGAAGGGGTAGAGTCTATCTGACCCTGGGGCAGCCTGGCCTCAGTTCTGGTGACCAGGGACAAGGTAGCTGGGGTAGGGGGACAGACACTGACCAAGGAAGGGGTACAGGATCCCGTTGGGGGGTGTCCTCAGCTCCTCGTGTGTGTGTGTGTGTGTGTGTGTGTGTGTGTGTCTGCAACTGGCAAAGTTTCGAGTGCAGGAAAGAGGACAAAAGCCTTCTGTGAGGCCCGGCCCTGGAGAGGACTTGGATCGGCAGCAGGGATAGGATGTCAGGAGGCACCATGAAAGGGCAGCTGTGACCTGCAGCCCCCTGGCGGATGGATCACAGGCCCCGGGCCCGGCCAGGGAGGGGGGAGGGGCGGCACTCACCTCTGTGTCGGTTGGTGGTTTTGTCAAACATCAGCATGGCATCATCCACCTGAAACACAGCCTGCTGTGTTAGGACCCACAGACACCAACCCGGGGCCCCCCAAACCTACACCCCTCCTGACTACCCCAGTCTTTTTATCTTAAACCTGCTCTCTCCAGGGGGACAGCACCCTAGACATCACAGCACATCAGAGTCCACGGGTCAGAGTCTCAACGGATCAGCCATGCATTTATTAGACTCCAAACGTATGCCTGACATTTTGGCTTCTGTCATCTCAATGCTCCCTGCACAGGCTCATCCCCCACTGTATAGCTACGGGAAATGGGCTCAGAGAGGTGAAGTTGCCTGCCCAAGGTCACACAGCAAGTCCCGCACCAAGCCAGGGAGGAAAAGGCACAAAGTAGGTACTGGAGGAAGAAATATGGGGGAACAAGATTATGAGGTGGGAAAACCAAAGCCTCTTCCCTTTTTGGAAAAGGCCAGCAGCCAGACTCCCTTCTGCTACAGATCTGTTCTCTAATTGAGGTTTCCTTTAGCTAGAGGCTGTAATTAAAGCAAGTAGAGTTCACTGCCTGAGCTGCTAGCCTGGCACTGGCTGGGGGAGGGGAGGAGGTGAGAGAGGGGGAGGGGGAGGGTCAACATCAGCTACTCTCTCCTGAACCCCAGCCACAGCTCCAGACACACAGACAACCTGCCCGCCTTCTCCTGGGCCTCCGTCTGCTCCAACCACTGACCTGACTCCTCATGGCAGGGATATGTCCTCAGACGAGAAGGCACAGCCTCTCCCCACCCTACTCCAGGCCCTTCATCAGCCTTAAAAAGATGCCTCTCAAGCCTCATTAAAGCAGGAAGTGCAGACCCAGAAATAGGGTGGGCCTCCTTAGAGAACCCGGAAGCTCTCTCCTTAGGGGTCAAGCTAGACCAGGCCTCCGGTTTCCCCAGAGGGAACCAAGACCCCACTGAAACCCGAGACCGTGGGGTTCCTGGAGAATCTCAGCAGAAAATGACAGCTTCCCGCAGCAGAATGCCATCCCTCACTCCTGAGCCAATGGCCACACTCAGACCTCTAACCCCAGCTCGGCCGGCTCAGCACACTTCGTCAGGCTCAGCACATCTCACCCCTCGCTTAAGCACTGGAAAACGGACACCCAGGAGGGTCTGATCAAAAGGGGAAGCTTTGAGGAGAGCAGGCGTGAGCTGGCGTCTTGGATACTGTGTTTGCTGGCTGGGTGTCCTCAGGGTAAATGGCTCTGGGTTTCTACGACTTTGATCCCTCGGTCTGTAAAATGGGTATTCATAGAGACTATTTCTTAGAGAAGTTAAATGTAAGGAGTACACAGAATACTCAACTTCCAGGAGCTGGGGTTCAGGATGCACTCGATAAACAGCAGCTGTGATTATCTTTATTATGGAGGGACCTGCCCACAGGTCCCAACCGGAGAGAATGACTCCCAGGTCCCACCAGGGCAGCTGCGTCAGTTTATAATCGACATCACTATTCTACCCGGCATCTTGACTTGTGCTCAATTAATTATTTTTTGAATGGATGAGTGAATGAACAGAAAGAAAGAAGGAAAAAAAAAAAAACAGCCACACCCTTCCTCCTTAATCCTGCAGCTTTGAGTTTCTGGCCTGACCCACAAACTGATTCAGGTCAAATCCAGTCCTTCCGGGCCTCTTCCACCCCAGGCTTCCAAACTCAACATCCTTGGGTCCCCAACGTCCTCCAAGCCGGGCTCGGTTGGCTGGACAGAACCCCGTGGAGGCGGTGGGGTGGAAGCCCGGGTAGGGCCCCCTGAGGAAAGTGGCTGGGGTCTAGGGTACCCCCACACCGGTGGTGTTTCCCCCCCCCCTCATCCTGGGGCCGGCTGAGGGGAGGGAGGCTACCAGCCCAGTGTCCTTAATAGGCTTTGGTCTCCATGGGAACCTGGGGGCAGGGGGGCTCTGGAGGGGGGAGGGGAGGCGACCGAGGCCTGCTGACCAGTGGGAGCCGCCAAGTTCGGCGGCGGCTAAGCCTGAGTGGCAGCCATGGCGGCTGACCATTGTTCCCCCCTCGGTGGCGGCCCCTCGATCCAGGCGGGAGGGGGGGGTGGCCCCCCAGCCGCGGGGCCCTTGGCATCCCCGGCTGTCCCCCTCGCTCCCTGGCAGCCTATTCTCCAGCTCCCCCTGGCCTCCCCGGGCCGGTTTCACATGCCAACGCCGATTTAGGCCCGAACAAAAGACGCGGCCGCTGACGGCTTCTCCTGGGGCCCGGTTGCCATGGCAACGCCGGCCCCGGGGGCAGGCGGCCTCCAATCACAGCTGCTGGATCAGATTAGTGCGGGCTCTAATGCTCGGTGCTCAGACACAAAGACACCCCGCCGGAGCCGAGCCGGGGCCTGCAGCTTCCCAGGAGCGCCCTTCCCTCTGGGGCCCAGGCTCTGCCTGCCCTGCATCTTGGACCCAGGTCCCCAAGGAGGCGCCTGAGCCAAGGCCTCTGGCCCCAACACGTCAGCATCCTCTGGCCTGCAGACCCCCCACCCGGCCACAGCTCACTGTCTCTCTCCCAAGCCGAGGGCCAGCTTGGCCTTCTGGGGAATTCACATGTCATGATGGAGAGGGCAAGGGACCCAAGCCCTGGCCTATCTCACCTGAAACACGCAAGCAGGCGGCCCTCCTTCATCCCCTGCTCTTCAGACAGACCGACCCCCTTTGACATTTCCCCATGGAACCTTGAAGTTTACACTGCTCGGTTTTGCTAGGGATACCTTTATTGTCTTAGTGGCCCCACACCTCCTATTCATGGCCTACCTCTTCCAAGGCCCAGAAATGAAATCTCAACACACCCAAGAGCTGAGGGGCTGGTCATCTATCTGGGCCAGAGCAGACTTCGGGATGTTTTTCTTCAGTCCCAATACCTGAGGGATCAGCACCATCCCCAGCTCCCCACCTGGGTAAGCAGGGTACCCAACGCAATAAGGATTCTTATTTATTGGCGTCTTATCATCCTCCCCAGGAAGGTGCAGCTGCCTGTGGCCTAGACAGGTGCAAGCTCCCAGGAGGCAAAGGGGGGGGGGGAGGACGGACTGGATTGAACTGGCTACAGGAGCACCTCCTCCCTTGGGAAGAGAAGCAGGAGAAAAATACAGAGGAGGGTAACAGAGAGACTATGCATGCGGCTTCCTCTCCCTGGAGAGGTCCAGAGTCTGAGGCCCATCGATGGGTGGGGAACCCAAACTGACTTGCTCTGACCTCACCTGAGGGGAGGGCCAGACCCTACTCTGCCCTTGCGCTGGAACCAGGATGATCTGACTGCCACCCCCCAACCTGGCCTGATCTATTCTCCGGGGCTTCCCCGGCCCCAGCTAAGCACCCCCCTTTCCAAAAGACCTACCTTTCCAAACTGCTCAAAATATTGCTTCACATCCTCGACGGTGGTGTTCACCGACAGCCCCCCCACAAAGATCTTCTTCGTTCGGGTGACCATCTGTCGGGGGAGAAGGAATGAGAAAGTGGGCATCTGAGTCCTGTGGCCTACCGCCACCAGCAGGGGCTGGGGGAGGGGGGGTCCCCCCTGCCAGGATGCCAGCTGACAAGCTCACAGTGGTGGCCGCAGCTTCTCCAGGGCCCCGGCTTCTCCAGGGCCCGGCTTCTCCAGGGCCCCGGCTTCTCCAGGGCCCAGCTTCTCCAGGGCCCCGGCTTCTCCAGGGCCCCGGCTTCTCCAGGGCCCCGGCTTCTCTAAGGCTCCCCTTCCAAGTTCCCCCTCGGTCTCCTGCTTCTAGGTCCGTCACAAGCATCTGTGCACCCCACACTGGCTGGCGTTGAGTGTGCCTCCCACCCACCCTGGGGTCTGTGTATGGAGAATGCCTTCCCTAAGGACCTATACAAGGAAGGGGGGGGGTACGCCCAGAGCCCAGACCCACTGCCTAGCACGAAGACTCCACCAGTCCTCCTGGGAGACACCAAAGCCACCACAGGGTGTCACCAAACTTAACACCGACATTTTCCTCATCAACCTTCCTCCCAACCCAACCTCTGGCAGCCCCCTGGCCCCAGCCCTGTTTTAGGAAGAACACATGGTCCTAATTACCCCAGGAGCGCATGGCTAATCCCAGGCAATTCCCAGCCCCATCCTAACACTAAGGGACCTTCTGTCACCAAACTGCTTAATGGAATTAACCCAATTCCGACCATGTGCTTCCTGGTGTGGCTCCCTTCGAATACCTGCTCCCGTAATTGCTTTCAGACCCTCTGCTGGACCCTTTCCAGAGATGCCCCTTTCTGTCCCCTAAAACGTGTTTCTTTCCCTCCACCCCGGCAGGAGCTGGCAGCCTTGATGGAATTCATGGTGCAGAATCTCAGAGCACCTTACTTGCCACCAAGGGGGGAAATGAGACCTCCTTGAGAAGGATCATCCAGTCCTGGGGCGATCTCAGCAAAGCCCAGACTCCTGGTACCAGACTTGGCCTTTCTTCCCATCCCCGTAAGTCAGTGGCTTAAAAGCTAAGATCTGGTCAGTCGCCATGATGTCTGGAATTGAATCTAAGGTCCTCACCTTGCATCGAAAGTTTTGAGCGCTCTTTTGCTCAACTGCTCAGAATTCCTTCTGCCCACCCTCTGCTCTAGAAGAAAACCCTTGAGAGCCCGGGATGGTCAAGTTAAAACACAACAGGTAGCCATGCGGCGGTCCTTTAATGCCAGCACTCAGGAGGCAGAGGCAGGCGTGTCTACAGAGCGAGATCCAGGACAGCCAGGGCTACACAGAGAAACCCTGTCTTGAAAAACCAAAAAACAAACAAACAAACAAAAAACCCAAAACAAAAAACACAACAGGTGACAGACTTGAAGGGTTCCCCTCCAAAAGCACAACACACCTCACACCCAGAGACAGGAGAGTGACTTGAAGTCAGAGGCACACTCTCTCATCCCAAGCTAAGACAAGCTTGTCCCTCCAAGACTCAGGGTCCAGAGACTGTGACCTATGAGGCTAAAATCACACTCAGGGTCCAAACTGTATTGGCTTCAAATACAGGACAACAAAATGACTTCCTCTCTTTTCCGAAACACGCCAGGCCATCTGCTGCCCACCCCAGCACACAGGTGGAATGATGCACAGGGTCTTCATTCCGTACAACACAGGTATCCCCTCTCCTCACCCCCAGCACACCCCAGAGACACTCCAGACCGAGGTTCCAGACACATCTGCCACAGAAGAGAATGCCTGGGAGACCATTACCCGGAACCGCCCAGGATAAAGGCGCTTCCCCAGCACGCACGCGCACGCACAATCTGCACACCTACCTTAGGCTGTACTCTCCGGGGAAAGGCCACCTTGGGATCAATCTGCAAGAGACATGTAAGAGGACAGGTAAGGGGTGGTCTTGGGTACCCCATACAGCCTGGGGTGGCTGCACAGCCTCCAGTCTCCTTCACCCCAGAACACAGGAGTGAGGATAAGCGCAGTAGCTTTGGGGCAGGAAGACACACTGGGTTCGAATCCCGTGTATGCCACTTTCTAGCTATGAGAGACCCCTGGCAAGTTATTTAAACTTCGAAGAGCTCCAAGGTCAAGTTCACCTGCTAAACGGACAACTCATACCTATTCCAAAGGGCCGCCTGCAGGTTACTACTGCAGATAATGCAAACCAAGCATGTGACGCGGTGTCTAGCTCACAGTAAAAAGAAAAAAACAAGTCTTATTTCACCAAGTATGAGACACGGACAGGCCTTGCCGAACAGACGCCACACGGGCGTCAGCGTCGTGACCCTACTGCCTCGGTGAGGCACGGAATTCTAACTTTGCCAACGGAGACTCTCTGCCTGGAGAGGGCCAGGAGGAGAGTCCAGACCCTCCAGGAACAGACTCAGTTCTCTTTCCTCGCGACCCCTGACCCCTGACCAGCCCTCCTAGAGGCTGCTGTACACAAAACAGCTCCTGATAGTTGCAGCCAGGCTCCAGGTGAGGCAGGCCGCAGCCTTCCGTGGTGTGAAAAGGCATGGGGGGCTTTGGACTTAGAAACTCTGGGCTGGAGGCCAAGCCTGTGATCTCAGAAGCTTCACCTGCCTCAGTTCCCTCATCTGCAAAGTGGGGACAAATCACACCCACTTCTGCTGAGGGCAGCTGCGGGGGGGGGGGGGGGACCAAACGAGATAAAGGGTGAAAGCGGCCCTTTGTGAACATCCCTTCGCCGCACAAACAAAGGTGTTATTACCAGAAGGCTACCTTTGCCCTTGCCGGTGAACAACCAGAGGGAACCAAATCAGGACGCACCTGGGTACGACTCCTGGGTGCCCAAGCCGCCCCAGCAGACCGTAAGAAACAGAATGCGACACTCTGTGACCCAGACCGGGCCTACGAGGCTTGGTCATGCCAATTTCTTGCCGCTCGCACGGACGGACATCATTTAGAAGTTACCAGCCAATCACAGGCAAGATCTATCTTTTCCCAAAGTTCCTTCCATTCAAAACTCGGCCTCGTTCTAGACAACTGGCCCCAGCCTCCCTCGGCCTGCATGGCATGAACCAGGAAGTAGAATTTCGCCAGCTCTCCTACTGGAATCTGCCCAGAGACGGAACTCCAAAACCTACCCCTAGGACAATGTCCCTCCGCCAGCGAGGGTTCTGTGATCTCTCGGGACAATCAAAACCACGCACTGCCCGCCTGAAGTGTTGGTTCCATACCTCTATGGACACTCACATCTTTTCATTTCTCCCAGATGTGGCTCCCCAGCCACCTACCTACATACCTCAATGCACAGACCCCCGACGGACGGACAGCACCCAAGCCATACTCCCCCAGACCCACATGCACCAAATCCTCATCACACACACACACACACACACACACACACACACACACACACACACCACCTCCACTCTGACTCACAGCTGGCAACATAAATAAAACCCAACAAGTAAATAAAAGGTGAAAGTCGGCATCCAAAATAGACTCCTGCCCGCCCCCTTCCCCAGCCCAAGAGATGCTAAACACAGACAAAGCCCTTGCGGTTGGCAGCCTCCATCTCCTGAGGATACCCATCTCACCATCCACCACCCCCCTTCCCTTATCAATCTTGCACTCCTTCAGCCAGGCACCCCCACCCCAGCCCCAGCCCCAGCCCCAAAATTCAAGCTTCCTAAAAGCAGCAGAAGCCATCA